AAGTGGAAAGTGGTATGAGGCACATTGAAGCCTTTTCTCTGTAGGCAGCAAGTGCCACCGCCAGAGAGTCAGGCACCTCCGAAAAGCAGCACGTCGGCGGCCGGTTGCTCTTTCCCCTTGTTTGGTCGTTGGCAAGCAGAGGCGCACAGAATAACCAACGTTCACCGTTTGAGGCTATTACTCCCCCCGGTGGCAGGCACGAGACATGAGGTTATGGAGCACCACGGCACAAGACACAACGTCGTTTTGGACAGAAACAGGAAAAGAGGATCCATTTTTTTTTTTGGCCAAAGGGTCGTTCTTACTCGCACGGGCGCCAGGGTGCGCCGCACGGCGCACGATCCACGTCCCTGCCTCCTTTTCGTCCATTACGCCCAGGTCAACTCATGAAAGCCCATCTGTCAAATGTCGCACTGGGTAGGACGTAATGTGTTGGTCATCCAACGATCGTGACGCAAGGGGGACCTGTCGGAGAAGAAGACGAATGACATCTTCATTTGGGGAAGGAAGGGAGTATTACGACGCAATTACTTTGTACTTCGTAATGGGGGAAAGCTTGTGAAAGGGAGGAAAGAGCTCCGTGACAGGTGTCCAACGAAGGCAGGCGCAGGGACGAAAAAAAATTAGGCTAGGCAGAAAAAGAAAAGTGGTTGGGTGGGTCCCACAGCAAGTCCATCCAACAACAGCACGATTAGCACCGACTAAGAAAGGCGGTGTCCATCTGGGGCCGCTTTTCTAGGATGGGTGGGTGTAAGTACTTTATGCAAGTGCGAAAAGTTGCTGCAGCTGCTGTGTCTTGAGTGGTGAGCAGACGACCAGCAGACAGCTGAAGGCTGCAGTCTGCATGTAGTATTAGAGAAGAGCGAAAATAGAAGGCGGTGTGGGAGACGGGCGTCTAGGTGTGTCTGGAAACAGCGGATCCTGGACTCGACTTGTTAGAGGATGGTATATGTCGTATGTCATAAATCGTACACAGTCCTGTATATGGGGAGGCGGACACGCAGGAGGCAGGCGCGAGGTAACTGCACATCAGACATGCGTTCGATGTGTTCGATGCGCAAAGCAACAAGTCGTCAACAAGAGCCATCGTCTCACAGACGGGATACTGCGAGACGATGCCGATAAATATGAGATGCAAGTGCCCGCTGTTTGCTCCATTGCGAGCAACCCGCGCACAGTAATACGGATCCCAACTCACGGCATCGCACCAGCTCTTTTGGTGTTAGTGATTCGAGGATCGAGGACGAAAAAGGGCAGTTGCAGTTACTGAGTAGTGACGGCGATACGTATGGCCATGTTGCCGTTGTCCACTTTTTGATGTGTTGGGTTTGATCGTCAGCGATGCGTGCGAGGATGGATGAACAATGTGGTTGACGGTTGCTATGGAGTGCGCATGCTCATAGCAGTGTCAGAAACTCCTTTCACAACTGGGGCGCACTGTGGTCGAAAACGGTATTTTCTTGCCTTTAGTGCGCCAACCAATCACAGAACACGGAATTGCGATTGGCCCCGGTCCACAGATCTGGGCCTCACCTTTGGGCCGATGTAAGTCTCTGCAGAAACGGAAAACAAAGCGTTTGGCAGTGCCGGGAGGCAAAATATGCACGAACACCAATGTGTTGGTCTAACACAAAGCGTGCGGCCTACTCCACGATGAATTGCTGGCCTGAAGCCAGCCACTGTGAGGTCGTTTCAGCCTGCGACGGCAGCTTGATGCCTGTTAAGTTGCCCAAGCAGAGCGCATTTATCTCAAACGGCGTACGAGCCACACCACCTGGGAGAGAGACAGCGCATGTAAAATAAAAAGGAAAAGTGCCATTCAAATGCACGAAACAGGCTGTTTAAGAAAGCTGTTTGTGAACTAGTGGAAGGGCTCCATTTTATCCTATTGGCTAGGTGTAGGGGACGTCATAAGCCCAGAGGAAAAACAGAAACGCTACAAAGTAGTCGCAAAATAGCAGCCAAATCGGTCCTCAGTGGTCTTAAAAGCATACGATCCTAGCAATACTGTAGGGAGATCAGCGGCGGGAAGACCTCTTAGTTCTGTCGCCGGTGCTAAGAAAACTCTGCGGTATTAGTAGGCGACCTCTCGCCTGATTCATTTCGCGATTGCCCCGTGAGAATCCCGGGTGGATGCACACAGAGACGGGATGAAGACAATAACGGACGATTTGCAAAAGCACGTTCAGTACCAGAGTACGTAGTATGAAAAGGTGAGGTGACCAGGTGTGGTCTTGGGTCTTTAATTAATCAATTCGAACTTGCCGTTTCTGCGCGTTGTTTACAATTGCCGGAAGGAGGGCATCTTCTTGTAACATGCCATATTCCAAGCAATCAAACAACCGAGACCATGGAAGGAACGAGGTACAAACGGTACGGAATACAGAAGACGCAGAAAGTAGGTTACTGCCACGAGGCAACAGGCAGGAACAAGGTTCCACAACCGGGCGAACCGCGAGAAGTGGAGATAAACAGAAAAATCGGGTGTCTGTTGGAAATTGGCCGACGACAGTGAAGACGAGCAGAGAGAAATGCTGTCACTTGAGGCGTGATGGAAGCTACGGCGCGCCCAGGCGCAAAAGACGAAAACGGGTGTGCAAAAAAGAGGCAATTCGGAAGGAAAGAGGCAATAATGGGAAAAACCAAGGGACCCTGAAAATGTCCTTCCCTGCAACTGTATTCTGTACTCCGTTCTCACCCACTTTTACGCCCACTTGCCCACTTCCCATTTCTTTCTTTGGGCCAGAGTGGAACACGACGGAAGCCGCAGACGTACTTCCTTGATCTTGCAATCCCAATTGAAAGATTTTCTCTCGATTTCTCTCCTTCGCTGCTTTCTCTCCGACAGAGGTTCCGCTTGTTCCTTGTTTATTCGGCGAAGTCTTTCGCATACACATGCGGGTTTACCCTTTCCCAATTTTTTTCCCTCTCCCGTTTGTGCTTCGTTCTCTATGAACCACGTTTCCATCTCACCCCTGAGCCTCCGCCGTTTCCCCAAATGCATGCAATGTGACGCTCTCCAAGTACGTAATCTTTCGTTGGCCCAAAGTTGGGGGTCAACAGCAGGAGGTCGGTCCCTGGCGTATCCTGCAGGCGAGGCAGAGAAGGTGCAGGGGGTGGCACCGGCGGCTGCGCCTGCCGGGTTGGGGTGCAGTTGCAGCGGGCCATCGCTTTTTATGGAGTAGCGTGGAGGATCGTAGTGCATTGGAAACAAAGGCGGTGAAGAACCACATCCCAGTCCGACGCAAACAACACTGGCGACGCTGGTAGAAGGACACTTGCGGATTTATTATGAATCAACTTCCTTTGGTCCCTCGATCTTGCAGCAAATGGCTAATTTTTTTTTCTCTTTTTTTTGAAAAAAAAAGGAAAAGGGAACGAGAAACGACTGCCACTACTTGTTATTCTGTTGCTGAGAAGGAACGAACGGCACCGAGTCCGTCGGCCGCTGGTCGCAGTTGCTTACTCCGTTACTCGTGTGCAACTTTCCTCCAATAGCAATGGCAAGAACGGTTACCAAGTCGTTGATTTGTTCCTGCCCCCCCTCCTGCACTGCAGATTACGGATTGCCACCTGTAGTTTATTTGTCTGTACTTCCGTATTCTCTGCTGCTTCCTGTTTGGTGCGCACAAGAGGTGCGCCAATTCGGATAACCACCCGCCGTGTTATTGATTCGAGCCGAGCAGGTGCTTTCTAATTGCGGTACTTTTGCACGCTGGTTATTTTGCTAATTTGATACCCAGGCGGTGAGCGCACTAGGCACAAAGCAGCACAGTATTTTCGATTGACAAAAGGGGCGCCTACTTTTCAGTCTTTGTTGCATGATGGATGTGTGGGTTAATTTTTACTCAGCCAGATCTTTTTTTTTTCGATGTTGTTTTGTTTACATTTGTTCTAGAAAAGTGTTCCTTATATTGGCATATCAACGATGATAATAATATATTCAAGACAAAAGCGGCGTAATATGAGAAGTGATGCTGACGGAGTAGTTGGGCATGAGAGCAAACAAAACGACAAACGGTTACATGCAGAAGGTGTGAAACAGTCTCAAGACGGCAGGCTAAATTATTCAGACTTTATACAGGCTTTGGTTTGCTTTTTCTTTCTCATTACATCTCATCCCAATGGCTAAAGTCTTAACATTGCAAAGCCCTGGATATCACTCAATGGAAAGAACAAACTAAAACACCAAGTCCATGTCTTCATACCCCGTCCATGACGAGAGCATGCCAGACAAAAGGAAAAATAGAATCGATACAAATGCACATCGGAAAAAGAATAGTTCAAGTAAAACAATACACTCCACGTTTGCGCTCGCTCGGTCTGTCTGCCTGTCCTTTTGCCCTTTGCCCACGCCAACCCGTTGTATCGCATCCAACACCTAAGCATAGTCACCCGTTCACCCGTTCCTGTCGTCGCCATGACTCCCAGAAACCTTCCAGAAATAATGCAAAGTGGTTGGCATCGTTTGCTTGAATTATCCAGCTGCAGGTTGCAAACAGTGAACGATGACATGTACAAAGAGGGATATTTCCTTTTTTTTCTGTCGCCGTCTGTTTTCATCCACCCGCCCTCCCAACACAAACCGGAAGAATAGAAAGAAAGATATAAGATACAATGATAAAGTTGAATACGAAACACAAACGATAAGAAAAACGCCAACACCAAAAGCCTCAAACTCCCCGTAACAAAAGACAGTGCTGCACTGCAAATGCAAAGTAACAAACACAAAAACAGTAACAGACAAGAAACTAATAAAAACGACCCATTTGGCGCCCCATGTCCCAATGCCGCTGGTGATTGATGGAAATTAACGTTTTCCTTTTTTATAAACGTGTAGCGTGTAGGATGCTTTTAGTTTTTATTATTTTTTCGAAGTGGTGTCGGATGCGTGCGTGGATAGTAGTAGTTTCGTAATTTTTCGTATATGTGAACTAAGGGTATGCCAATGGCTCAAAAGTAGGCAGGAAAGTAAAAGGAAACCCGTGAGCTGGACCCGTCTAGGCCCGGTTGGCCACGGCGGCGAACCGCTCCGACACGTCCGGCGCCATCTTGATGAACGGCAGCTCAAAGAAAAAGAACTTTTCGTTCTTGACTAGCTCGGCAATCACCGCCAGCAGGCCCCACGGCTGCGGCCAGTAGTTGACAATGCGCTCAAACAGCACACGGCAAATCTGCTGCCGAATGTCCGTCTCTTCCGGGTCCGACATGTCGTGCCCAAAGATCTCCAGCAGCGCCAGTGCGAAGAAGTTGGTGTGTGCGTTGGGGAACCGCAGCTGGTTGACAATGCTGCAGATCAGGTAGTATCGGCCCTCGGCCGAGAGCTCGTGCAGAATCATCGACAGCGTCGCCACATCCGGCCCGCCCGCCGTGAACACGGGACCACCGCCCGACACCCGCGCCGCCACATGGTTGGCAATGTACGCCACGACCGCGTCGACCACGGGCACGTTGGTCGAGATCGCCACGCGGCCCCAGGTCGTGCTGGCGCTCTTCGCCTCCGTCTTGCTCATCGCGTACTTGACGTGCGCCACCACCTCTTCGGACGGCCCGGACTGCAGCGCCTGGTCCAGCAGCGCCGTCAGGCCCATAGACGACAGCAGCGGGCCCGGCTGGTACCGCCCGTTGGGGACCATGCTGGCCTCCTCCATTTGGTCGAGCCGCAGGCCGGGCATCGTCGGGTCCGGCGGCTTCGGCATCGACGTCGGGTTCGCAAACAGCACAATGTTGAGAGGCTGCACGAGGTACGGCGGCAGGCTCTGGCAGAGCTCGACGTGGTTGGCCGCCAGGTAGTCGGGGAAGTCATGGTAGATGATGAGGACCAGCTTCAGCGCCGCCCGCGAAAGCTCGCGCGCAATGTTGGCGCTGTCGGGCACCTTGAGCTGCTCGCTTGTGAACGACAGCAGCTGCTTCAGGATCTTGGTGTACGACGCCCAGCCGTCGTTACCGGTAGCGCGCAGAAGCGACGGCATGAAGATCCGGTGCTTGATCAGCTCCGCCCAGCCGTACACAAAGTACGGGAACGTGGTCGGGCCCAGATCGTTGAAGCGCGTCGCAAACCGGCCCAGGATCTCGTTCCGGTCCGTGTCCGATAGATGCTCCGACACGTTGTTGATCGAGACGAGCAGCATCGAGAAGAACCGGAAGAACACGCGCTGGTTGTACATGTCGCCGCGCTGCACATAGTGGTGGTTGAGGATCATCGTGCCTAGGGCCAGGATGGAGTCGAGCAGCTCGGCGCGCGGCGACCGGCCCTCGGGCACCGCCGCGTCGCTCTCGGTACCGCAGGCCTGCACGAACATAGCAATCAGCCTGGCCACAGAGTCGATCGCGGCGAACCCGTCGTTGACACTCTCGCCCGCCTGTGCGCTGACCTCGCACCGCTCCACAGACCGGTCAATGGCGATGCGCACGAAGACATAAAGATCGTCGCGGTTCGCAATGATGCCGCGCGCGCGCATCTGCTCCACAAAGATAAAGGGGATGTTCTCGGGGATGCCGGGCTTCTGGCACACAAGCACCCATTCGTCAAACACGTACTCGATCTGGTCCTTGCGCTGTGGCGTGAGCTCGCCGGACGCGTCCTCGGCCTCGGGGTGCGACGGCTGCGCGCCCTGGGTGACGATTTTGGTCTTGAACTCCTGGCCGCCCGGCACCTCGGGCTCCTCCTGGACCCATGCCCACGCCTCGGCCAAGCTGTTGATGAACTGCGCATAATACAGAACCTGCGGGGCGTCGCGAATGAGCGTGAGCTCGAGCAGGCGCGTGAAGAAGACGATGGAGCCCTCCTTTCTTTGCTTCAGAGTCACCGCCATGGCGTTGTCAATGACGGACCAGTCCAAGAGTCCCGTGGGCAGCAGCACCGAGATGAGGGGCAGGCGCAGGAACGCCTGGCCGGGCTGCGCCTGGAAGAACTGGGCAATGCGGTTGGTGACGGGGATGCCGACAATCTTACGGAGCGACTCCAGGACGTGCACCAGACTCTCAAACGCCAGGCTGTCCTCGAGGTTGTGGTTGAACAGCATGGGGCAGACCTGGTCCGCCGCATAGATGGCAAAGTCCTCGAACGTCGGCTGCGCCTTGATGATGGTCTGTATCAAGGCGTCGATAATGTCCAGCACGGGGTGCGGGCGGGGCAGCTCCGAGAAGTGCTCCTCAATGGCGTCTGTGGCGGAGCGCTGCAGTTCCATAATCAGCTTACCGATGCGGTCAGCAAGAGCCCGGGTATCCACGCCCGGGCCGGCCTGCCGGCCGCCGCCGTTCATCAGGCCACCGTTGACGCCGCCGGCCGCCACGTTGGCACCCCCGTGAAGCTGCGGGTAGCCCTGCAGCTGTGAGCCGACGGATGCAACAGACGGGGTCTCGGCCGCCGGCGGAAGGCTAGCAAGCGAGCTGTACTGGTCCTGGAGGACGTCGTTGGCGAGCGACCGCGTGGTGTCGGATGCCGAGGCGTTGTGCGCAGCCGAGGCGGCGGCCGAAGCCGTCGTCGGCCGCGGGTGGCGAGCAAAGTCGTCGTAGATGGCCATCTGGTCGTTGTTGAGGCCGCTGACGCTGGGGCTGAGCTTGTACGGGCTCGGGATGGTCATGGCCCAGCGGCTCAGGCCCGGGTCCATGTACGGCTCGTTGGGGCGCTGGAGGCGGTGGCGTCGGCGCGCCTCGATCTCGGGCTCGATCATGTCCTCAATCTCATACGCGGCGCGGTCCTCGGTGGCCTTTTCGATCACGCTCGACGCGTAGTCCAAGTTGGAGTTGACGCACATAATGATGGTTCCTTCGGGCAGGCCCTGCGGCAGGTCGCTGGAGAGCGTGCGCATGTAGTTGGTAAAGTTGGCACGCAGGGGCTCCTTGGAGGTAACAAGGGCGAGGCTGCCCGCAGTGGCCTTGGCCATGCTCACCGCCGACGTGCGGAGACGGTTCTCGTCAGGCTCGATGGCAAAGTCCTTGTGGATCATCTGCTGCGTCGCAATAGCGGCAATCGCCACTGACCGGTCGACCACTTGCTGGATAATGTCCTGGAGAGCCTGGACGAGCGCGTTGCGCACAATCTCCTCGAGGCGGGTCTGGCTGACGACCATCTCGCTGACGGGCGGCACATGCACCTTTGTGATGCGCTCGGGTATCATCGCGACCATGCTGTTGGACACAACGCCCGGCACCATGCCGTGGCCAGCCAGGCTGCCAGCCGCACCAACGCCGGCGTGGCCGATGCCGTTGAGCGAGAGGTTCTCAAACGCATCGAGGCCGTCGTGCGGCATGTCGGTCTCCATGGCGACGCGGTTGAGAATCTCGCCCGAGGGTTCGATGCTCTTGTGGTCGATGCTCAAGGTCTGGCAGAGAACCTCAATCTCAAACTTGAGGTTCAGCTTGAGCTCGGCGTTGTGGTACAGGTCGATGAGGAAGTGGATGATATCCATCAACCACGGATTCGGCGGCTTGAACACGTTGGAATGCTCGCCCTGGCTGAGGACCTTGCAGACAAAGGGGATAACGACAATCAGGCGCTTCGTGTCGTGGGCCTCAATCAGCAGCTGCTTGAAGGCAATATTGCGGTGGCGGATGGGCTTGTCCCGGGCAAGCGTCAGGAGGCCCAGCCAGCCACCCAGGTTCTTGAGATGCGAGCGTTCCGTCGAGTTCTGCATCGTCGCCTCCGAGTTGAGCATGCGCGACACGCTGACGTAGGTCTCGCGGAGCACTTCAGCCCACAACATGCGGTCCTCAAAGTGGCTCACAAGCTGCAGATATACCTTGTGGTAGTTGGGCTGCATCTTGGCGCGCTCCTCGACAAGGTGGCTGGCAAACCACTGCTGGTGCTTCACGTCGACCATGGGGCGGATCTCCTGGAACATGGACTGCAGAGTGTTCGCCGTGATATTGTTGAGCACAAACTGAATCTTGCCCTGGGCATCCGGGTCGGGGTCTTCAAAGGGGATGTTGGGTGGAAGAGGGTCGACGTTGATGGAGACAAAGGGCGGCTGCTCAGAGCCGTCGTCGTCGTCGCCGTTGCCGTTTGTGAGGGCCTCATCGTGGCCGCCGGCGCCGCGTGCTTCCTCCTCGGCCTCGCGGACCACATCGCTCGCCTTCTTCCAAGCTTCGGTGCCCTGCAGGCTCTTGCACTGCAGAAGCTGGCGGCAGAAGCCCGGCCACTCGCGGAAGCGGGAGTAGAGCTGCATCAACGCCTGCATACCAAACTTGAACATGGGGTGGTCCTGTTGGTGGTCCCGGACGGCCTCGAGGATCATACCCAAGCCGACCTTGAGCGGCAAGTCTGAGATGAGCTTGTGCGACATGAGACCACCAAAGAGCACGGCGGTGGTGGCCAGCGCCTCTAAGGGGTAGTCGCCGAAGTGGCTGTACTCCTCAAACAGGCTGTTGATCATGCAGGCAAAGATGTCCTGTTCAAGCCGGTCGCGCGAGTGCTTGTAGTGCTCCATGATGCGGACGACCTCGCGGACCTCGATCTCGTTGCTGTACATCTTCTTGAAATGCTCCTCCATCTTGGCGTTGGCCTCCTGCGGGAGCGCGTGGCCGGCCTTTTCGCTCTCCTCAATGATGTCGTCAAAGCCTTCGCCGTAGTTGATGAGGCGGGGGTAAACGGCAATGCACTGGCGCTGGACCATGACGAGGTCTGGGCTAGGGCTTGTCGTCGGGTAGTAGTCCTCTAGAATGCTGAGCAGGGCCGACACGGTCTGCACCTTCAGGGGAACGTTAGCCTTGGGCTGAATCTGCTGACCGTCGGGCCGTTGGGCCTCGAGTTCCGACTTTATCATGAGGAACTGCAACAGCGGCCGAGCAATGTCGGCGTTCCGCTCTGCATTGTTCTTGGCCCACTCCGTCAAATCGACAAACCCCTGACCATGGGCATATGCTACCAAGTCTAGGCCAAATCCGTTGGGCAGGTAGACGAGGTCGTTCAGCCAGCCGTGCTTCGCACAGTGCTCGAAAATGTCGGGGAGGTCGCCGGGGTGCAACGCGTGCGCGTTGATGAGCTGCTCTGTATGCAGCTGTCTGTCTTTGCGCCAGAGACTATCAAACACAAAGTCCCAGTTTGCTGTCCGCTTATACAGGAAGCCTTCGAAGAGTGACGTGAAAGTCTCGGCGGCGGTGACCGGCCATGGCTTGGGGACCATGGCGGCCGACACAACAAAGATATCGAGGTTCGGGATGACCACCGCCTGGAATAACCTGCGCGCCTCAACATTAATGCTAGCGTGCTGGGAGGCGAGGGCGATATGGACAATGGCAGAAACGGCGGCGAGCGAGACGAGGGGGTGCTTGGCGGCAACGGCGGCGCGCTCGCGGATCTCGGGAGCGGCGTCGGCATACTCGTCAATGGCAATTGTGGAACGGAGGTTGGGTATGGTCGTGGCATCGAGGTCGTCGGGCGACTGTGACGCATAGGCGTACACAAAGGAGAGCTGGGAGTCGGGGTTCTCCCAGCTGCCGCCCCATAGTCGCTCAATGCTGATCGTCTCGTCGTCGCGGGCAATGGGGGCGAGCGCATTGTAGAGGCGAAGGAACTGGGACGCAGAGATGCGTGCGCCCGGCTGGTCGAACCGGCTGATGACGTCCTGCCACTGGAACGTGGCCGGCACAAAGCGCCGCAGCGCAGCGACGAGGACCGATGGGTTGAAAGCGTATGTTTGGCTGATGGCAGTGTATGTCAAGGCATGGGCGACCTGCTCTTCAGTGGTCTGTCCCTGGCGGTTTTGGAGGTAGGAGAGCGCGGTGTCCTCATCGCGGGTGAAGTCGGCACCGGTCTTGTGAATAAAGTTGGCAAGTGCGTTGGCGGGCCGGTCGGCCAAGACGCGCATCAAATCGAGAGCGGCCAGGACCGCAGGCGGCGGGCCCAGCTCCTCGTTCTCGTATCGTTGCGCGACTTTTATAGACAGATCGGACTTTGTGGTGTTGGTGAAGGTGGGAGGGTGGAGCTGGATGTATCGGTCGACGATGAGGGAGACGAAGCTGGGATCGACATCAGCATGATCGCCGCCAGGTCTGGACAGGATGTTGACAAACGTGGGGAAGTTTGTCGAAAGGATAGCGTCGGCTGAAGAAGAGGACGGTTAGTATGCGCTTATGCAAACTCAAAAAGGCGTAAATGGGCTGCGGGCGCGTCATCCTCCGATACAGAACTCACCCTTTGTTTTGAGATCGGAACGGGAGCCAAGCTTAAAGGCAAGGGCTAGGATGGTCTTTTCAAGGGCATCGAGCTTGAAATGCTCCATGAACGTCGAAAGATCAAAGTCACGGAAGATCTCCTCGGTGCCAATCTCGATGGACTCGGCAATGTTGCGGGCCTGGTCTGGCTGGTGCGAGATCTTTTGCATTTCCGTCGTCAGGAGCTGGTAGGATCCCGGACTACCCCCCGGCCGGTTAAAGCCGGGGAATATCTGGGATGCACTACTAGCTACAAGACGGGCGAAGTATTTGGTAAACACGTCCATGCCGTTCTCATCGATGAGCTAGAGGAGGATGAGAGGTTAGTGAGTTGTGGCAGGAAAAGAAACGCGCAATCGCAAGCGCTATAACGACAAAGAAGAAGAAGAAAAAGAGTCCACAAGGGCAATGGCAACAAACCTTTCGTAGCTGGTCCCACTTTGAATGGTCGACTTTCTCCTCCTTCAGGCTGCTGAGGAGGACATACACCTGAGCAATAACAATCTTCGAGACGTTGTTCGTCCCGGTCGGACTGCCGGTGACGGGACTGCCACCCAGAGCCGCGTTCTGGGATGGATGCGGAGAATGGCTAGAGCCCGTATGTAGCGATTGGGCAGGACTCGGAGAAAACGTTCCCGCTCGAGGTGGTGGGACCATGGGGGAGGTCTGGCGAGGGTGTGAAGGGAAGATATGCTACTATCCAATCCAACGGGCGGACAGAAGCCACTTCCTCACCCGACGGAAGAGAAAAGAGAGAGGAGGGAAGGAGGAGGAGGAGGAGGGGACGGCGGAAGGACGGCGACAGGAGAAGGCAACGATCGAGGCGTGGCGGAGAAGCAGTCGAATATGAAAACTGATGCAGCGGCCGAGGAGAACGAGACACGGCGGTCACGAAAAAGAGAGAGGAGAATGGACAGGGCCTGATGGACAGTGCAATGCACAACCGTATCAACGCCGCGACGAGATGGAGATGCAAAGAATAGTGATGATCGCTGCTGATCGAAATGACGCTCGAGGAGGACCACGGACCAGCGCGAACGGGCAAGCGATTGGACAGACAGGCGGCAGGATGGCAACGCGCAGTCGCAGACTCTGCAGACAGAGGCCTTCGCGGGACGGAATCGGGTCGCAGTTTTGCTGTCGGAGGGAGCTAGGTCGCGGCATTAGCATACATGTGTCCAAAGGAGTCACGGTGGAAGACTGATGTGAGGAGGGGGAACAAGACACGCAGCCCCGGTTGCAACACCGGCGACGGTAGCACACGCGCGAAGGCCGCTGCAACACTCGACAATCGACGGCCAGCGACGGGGGTTGTCTCGTGCCCTCGTGTGATGTCTCGCTTTCTCAGCCTTTTCTCGTGCCTTTTTTTTACCTTTTGGTTGCTCCGGTGGGAATCAATAAAATACCCGTCAAACGATGTGAAATATTGGTACACGAACGAAAACAAAGCAGAATCGAGTGTGTCGGTCGGGAGGTACGCGGTGGCGATGGCGGCTAGAGGAGGGTGAGAGGGGCGGGCGCGTGTGGAAAGAGGTGGTTTGGAGAGTGCGTGATGAGGCGGACGTTTGGCTCAATTTTTCTGCGAAGGGGGTTTGGAGGTCGATGCAGGTCTTCCCTTTAGGCTTGGCTTGGGCTCGGGCTGTTGGAGTGTGTCGGGTGGGTGGTGACTGCCAGTTTTGCGTAGCTGGTGCGCCTACCGTATGGGGGCTTTTGCGGACTGACAGTCGCTGTGCGCGCCTTCCGCGCCCTACTAAGATTCTGCGTTGCTGCCTGGAAACTAAGGCATGGGAGCGTTAGCCTCATTCGGTACCTGGCGAGCTGGCAATCTCACCTGCCCGCTATTGGCCTGGAGCTTGGACCAACTGCCGCTGGAGCTTGCTGGCCCAGTCGGTGCCTTCCCTGTGCGCGACCAGATCGCCTGCACAGGGCGGAGGGCAATCTTGCATCTCCCTGCCTTCATGGCGTGAAAAGACGTTTTCGACGGGATACAACATAGACAACGAGGGGATACGCACAGAATATTGGACAAGATGTGCGGTCCAGAGGGAACGCTGTGTGGCAGTAGAGTAGCATGTACTGGCTTTTGCTTGGTTTGTCACGTGTCACCAGATCACGTGCAAAATGCGCCTGCCTTTGATTGGCTCACCCAAGCTGAGGAAAGAGCTCCAGCTCTATGTTCACCCCAGACAAGAACTGCGTCGAGTCACAAGATGCTTGCATTTGATAGCTTGATTTTGAAAGTACGGAATACTGGCAAGCCAGAATCGACATGAAACGAGAAGTTGGCCTCGTGCTCCCACGTATCTCTGGCGCAGCGAGCCGCGCGGTTTGAGGCGACCGCGCATTCAATTAAGAGGATTTGCGGGGCCGGTCGCAGTTGCCCTGGCGACGCGCTAGTCAACAACGTCCCAGCTGGGAAGCATCGGCGTCACTGCCACCCACACCGCGGCAGCCCCTGGTACACAGTGACAATGGGGCTGCTATTACCTGTGGTTCTCTGATATTAGATGAGCTGGGCCGTCTTCTCGATTCTCTTCGACACTCCTTTTGTCTGCTCTGCATATCCCGTTTGAAGTTCTCGCATTCCAACCGATCTTCACGCAAAACGCGGCTCTGAGTGAACGAGAGCACATATCGTCAAGGCGGCATCGTCGACCGTTCACTTTTATATCGACAGATCATTTTGATTGAGACATCTTCACTTTATACGGATAACATACCTTTGACCTTCTCTATCGACACTCTGGCTGCCGGCACGATGTTGACGCCGGCGAACGACGGGCCGTCTGTGGCCCTGTCATGTAGGTCGACGATGACTTCATATCGCCGATGTACCCGATGGCCAAAGACTAACCTGTGATGCTTTTAGTTGCCAACAACTTCTGGGGCAAGGACGATGCTGGCGTCGGTCCTCTGCTCGAGCGCATGGCCGGCGCCAAGCAGACATGCGACGAGCTGCGCGCGTTCTACAATGGTACGTGGACGTTGCCATGATAAGCAACAACAGTACACCGTATCTCGTCCCACTCTAACAAGCACAGTCCGAGCCTCGATCGAAGACGAATATGCCCGCAAACTACTATCGCTCTGCCGTAAGCCGCTGGGGTCGCAAGAGATGGGCGGCGTGAAGCTGTCGCTGGACGTCATGCGCGGCGAAGTCGAGTCGATGGCAAAGCAGCACCAGTCAATTGCCGCACAGATGAAGACGGAGCTCGAGGAGCCGCTGGCGGCCTTTGCCGGTGCCATGAAGGAGCGCCGCAAGATTGTGCAGAACAGCATCGAGAAGCTGCACAAGGTCAAGGTGCAGCAGACGCAGCAAGTCAACAAAGTAAGCTTGCCTCACCTTCCCCGCAGTGTGTGTGTGTGTACAATATAGAGCATCATCTAATAAGACAGACCCGCGACCGGTTCGAGCAGGAATGCCTGAAGATCAAGGGCTACCTCGCCCAAGGCCACATGGTCATGGGCCAGGAGGAGCGCAAGAACAAGGCCAAGCTCGAGAAGACGCAGATCAGCGTTGCCACGTCCAACACCGAGTATGAGAACGCCGTCAAGATCCTCGAAGAGACGACGGCCCGCTGGAACCGCGAGTGGAAAGCCGCCGCCGACAAGTTCCAGGACCTCGAGGAGGAGCGGCTCGACTTCACCAAGAGCAGTCTGTGGTCCTTTGCCAACATCTCGTCCACGGTCTGTGTTAGCGACGACTCATCGTGCGAGAAGATCCGCCTGGCTCTGGAGAAGCTCGAGGTCGAGAAGGACATTGCCAGCTTCATCCGTGAACGGGGCACCGGCCAGGAGATCCCCGATCCGCCCAAGTACATCAACTTCTGCCGCGGCGACCTCGACTCGCAGTCTGAGGCGTCCGAGGACGACTACTCCGTCGCCCAGTTCCCCCGCAGCATCAACCCAGCATACCGCACGTCCTCGCCCCAGCCGTCGACCTACGAGTCACACCACGACCCGAACTCTGCTCTGGCCCGCGACATGGGCCACGAGCTTATCGAGCCCACCACCCCACACAAGCCTGCAGCGCCATCTGCCGTGGCCCAGCGCACACCTCACCCCGACACTTCCAGCCAGGCCACGCCGCGTCAGATTCAGCAGCAGCAACAGCTTGCCAAGGACAATATACCACCCTACGACCCGAACGATTTCGCGCCCGTTCCGCACGACCCGTACCCTCTGGATGGCATGACCATGCTCTGCCGCACAAACAATGGCGGGCCGCAGTCGGACCTGGGGTCCCAGCTCAGCTCCAACAGCGCGGCTACATCCGGCCGCCCATCCAGCCGCGACTCGCACAGCGACTTCTCCAACCTGACCCCCTACTCAAGCCAAGAGCTACCGAGCGGCAAAGTCTCACCAGTGAAGGCTGAGCCGCCCAGCGCCGTGATACCCGTCGACGAGAAAAGGGCCATGAAGAAGAAGAGCGGCTTCTTCCAGAACCACAGTCCGTTCCGCCGCAAGAGCACCAAGGATATCTCGACGAGCTCCAACGCCGCCTCGCACAGAAACACCTGGCACCCGCAGGCCGCCTCAACTCAGGTGCAGGAACAGGTACCGCCGAACAATGTGACACGTGGATCCGTCTACGGTGGTGGCGGCCACCAGCGCCAGCAGTCGCAGCACCAACTGATGCAGCATGAACGGACAGCTAGCCCTGATCCCATTGACGCGAACGCCAGCCTTGCACTAAATGTGGGCCAGAACGTCTTTGCCGTGTCGACACCGGATCGCCATACGGGCAGTGGCAACGCACCGCAGACGAACGAGCCGGAGGCGGCCGAAGACGACCCAATTGCCCAGGCACTCGCAGAACTCAAGGGCGTCACTCTGGGCAAGCAGGCCTCTGTACGGGTTTCGGCCGACCACTACCATGGCATCGCAACACCGGCGCCTGGGGCTCGTGCCAACCAGTTCGCCAAGAACAGCGCTGTCGCCGCAGGCATGCGTGGTACGCCACCGCCGTCTTACGACCAGCAAGTCCAGCGCCTGGGTGTGCCGTCCCCCGCGGTCACGTCCAAGGCCATGAAACAGACGTCGCAAAAGTTTGCACAGCAGACACGCAGCATGTTCAGCCCAACCAGCAACGAGTACCAGCAGGGCGGTGGTGGTGCCGGACAAGGCGGTGTCTACGGTGCCTCGCCTTCACGGCAGGGCACACGCAGCAGCTACGACCTGCCGCGTGCCGCCTCCCCCGCCCCGAGACGTAGTGCGTCGCCGCGGCCAGGAACGGCGGCCACCATGCACCAGCAGCAACAACAACAACAGCAACAAGCGCCACCCCAGCAGCAGCAGCGGCCGGATCCGCGCATGAATCACCGGTCGGCGTCTCCCAACCCTTACGCCAGCCGGCCACCATCACGGCAGCAACAGCAGCAGCAGACGCCGAACCGGGCATCCGACCAGTACTACTCTCGGCATGCCTCACCCAACGACATGTCGCGGGCAGCGTCCCCGTCGCCCTACCGCACAGAGCAGCCGAGCCGTCCCCGCAGCAGCATGGCCAACCACAACAGCGCCGACGTTCGTGCCCAGTCGCCCTATGTAGGCGACGACGGCTATGGGTCGCAGCGCAGCCGCGGTGGTAGTACCAGCCGGCCTGGAACCAGCAACTCCAACTCGCGTGCCATGGGCCTCTATGAGGGCGGTGGTGGCTCGATGCGGTCGTCACGGAGCAAGAGCATTGGCGAGAACGTGCAGTTCACGCGCGACGGTCGTCCGATTATGCATTTTGGTAAGATAACGTTGGGTCTTTTTAAAAGCCATATGACCTTTCACATGGTCCTAGTCACGCTAACACGTATCTCCCTACTAGCACGGGCTTTGTATGTCTACCAGGCTGCCATTCCTGAGGAGTTAGGCTTCGCGAAGGGCGATATTCTGGCCGTCCTGCGCCACCAGGACGATGGTTGGTGGGAGGCGACTGTGCACGGCAACACGAACGGCAATGGGCAAGTCGGCCTGGTGCCCAGCAACTACTTGCAGCCGCTGTGAGGGCAAAACAGCGTCACATACGAGGCAGTGCCGTCCATCATCTCTCGTCCATCTCTTCTCCCATGTCTTCCTTTTCATTCCCTTTCACGGCCGCCACTTTTTCATTTTCACGACAAAATGTCTGATGTAATCTGCATCTGGAGCCATGTCTTTTTGGAAGAGGGTGTCTTATGTGTCATTTAGTTTGTGTTGAGTTTTTTTAAGTTTTTTCTTTTCAAGTGGTGAGTCTCTTTTGGGCAGCTACATGTTCCAACATTTTGCGCACATTATTGTGAATTTTACTTGTTTTATTTTGATTTTTGAAGATTTGATTTTATGTTGCAACTTGATTCATAACTGGGTCTCTGGTAATTAATAGATTGAATGCCATCCCCTTTTTACTTTTGCAACAGCATTTCGTATTGTGAATATCGATCGATACGACAAATTGTCTCTCGTATTGTTGTCTCACGTGACCATGATTCGTTTGTGCCATTGTGCATGAATCGCTCTTTCTTCAGAGGAGCAAATGATGCATCATCTGGATGACAACAACGGTGACAAGGAAAGAGCAATGCTTTGAGCTTCGTCGGTACAGCTATGGTTAGCGCCTATTCTGCTACGAAAAGGGCATTAAGCTTCTAGTACATTGCTTTTGCCCAGATCAGCGCCTAGCTTCACGTACCACCGAGGACCCACAGCGCCTGGTTCGGAAATAGACCACGCTCGCCCTTGCCGCCAGTGTGACCAGTCCCGTGCCTTCCTTTTGAAGCCAAGCTTGTTTGGATCTGAAATGAGGCAGCTGTTTTAGCGGTAACTGCCCTGCGACGCAACACCCGAACGCGCTAGTGCGGTCAGGCTGCTCTGGCAGGAGCAGTCTACGTTCGTAGTCACCGCCCCTGCAGTCGCCTCGTCGCAGTTGCCCCGTCTGTCTCGTTTGCAGCTTTACTCCTTCCTTTCCAAGGCCCATTTCAATTCCTCGCTTTCTCATTCCCCACGACCACGCCAAACCCAGGCGACCAACCCCGGGATCATAGGCAACCAAAAAAAAACACACACACACAAACAGTCTTCTTTCTCACAACTCAAACTCTCCAACCCACACGTCATCTCCCAACTCCATCCCTGCCGACGTCTCCTTTCGCCTTATTCCGACTCCAACTCTCCTTGGAGCCTCGCTCTTTACGTGTTGTCGTCCTTTTTTGATTTCGCTCTCCTTTCCTTGTCGCCTTGCACCGAACCGGGGTTTTCGCTATTTGGGATCGCCAGCGACTGTTGCATCGAAAGCAGTCAGCAAAAAACCAAGACGGAAAAACGCTTGTCACGATCGAGGCAAGACGAGGCAAGACCTCATTTCAACCTTTACCACATCGACGTCGACATCCGACACCAACACCGACACCGACTCGTTTTCCTTTGTGCATTCTTTTCCATCCAGAACCCGCAACTGGCCTTGATAATCGCTGCCTTGCATTCGACCACCCGATCGTAATCTGTGATCGCGACATCCTTTTTATTCATCGGCCCTTCGAACCGTCTCCCTCTGCGTACAGCACCATCGGCCCTCGAGCTTCGACTCAAGAACGACCGCCGCGATGGGCATCTGCAGCTCGCAGTGCTGCGGAGGTACGAGTTTTTTCGTCACTGCGTGGGGCACGCGCGTCCCATTTCTTGCTGCATTTCTGGCACTGACTCTGTTCTGTTCGATTCAATTTAGGCAAATCCCGCGATGGCCTGTACGAACCCGTCCTCGCGGATAGCGAGCGTGAGGCTGTAGCAGACCTTTTGCAGTACCTCGAAAACGTACGCCCAAGTGCCCTGTGATCCATCACCATGATTTATTTGGATGTGTGTGTGTTTCTCGTATCATGCTGACATCCCCTTTTTCAGCGGAACGAAACCGACTTCTTCTCTGGCGAGCCTCTCCGGGCCCTCACCACCCTCGTCTACTCCGACAACATCGACCTGCAACGCAGTGCGAGTCTGACATTTGCCGAGATCACAGAGCGTGGTAGGACGACCCCCGCGATTTCCCGACAGTATGCATTATGCATTGGGTAGGGCAGGCCCTTTGTTTGCTAACAGCTTTGGCTTTGAAGATGTCCGCGAAGTCGATCGCGATACCCTCGAACCCATCCTCTTCCTTCTGCAAAGCCCCGATCTTGAAGTGCAGCGGGCAGCCAGCGCCGCACTCGGCAATCTGGCGGTGAACAGTAGGTGGCCCGCGCCAGGAACAGAAACAAAACCCCTTCCCTTTCGTTACTGACATGATTTTCCCAGCTGCCAACAAGGTGTTGATTGTCGACCTCGGCGGCCTCAACCCGCTCAAGCGCCAGATGCTGTCCCCTAACGTTGAAGTGCAGTGCAACGCCGTTGGCTGCATCACGAACCTGGCCACCCACGAAGACAACAAGGCCAAGATTGCCCGCTCCGGGGCGCTCGGTCCCCTCACCCGCCTCGCCAAGTCGCGCGATATGCGTGTCCAGCGGAATGCCACCGGCGCCCTGCTCAACATGACCCATTCCGACGAAAACCGCCAGCAGCTCGTTAACGCCGGGGCACTCCCCGTTCTGGTCCAGCTCTTGTCGTCGTCCGACGTTGACGTTCAGTACTACTGCACCACCGCCCTTAGCAACATTGCTGTCGACGCCAACAACCGCCGGAAATTGTCCCAGACTGAGCCTAAGCTGGTGCAGTCGCTCGTCAACCTGATGGACTCGTCGTCACCCAAGGTCCAATGCCAAGCCGCCCTGGCTCTGCGCAACCTTGCCTCCGACGAAAAGTACCAGCTCGACATTGTCCGCGCGGCGGGCCTGCCGCCCCTGCTCCGCCTCCTCCAATCCTCCTACCTGCCCCTCATCCTCTCCGCCGTGGCATGCATTCGCAACATCTCCATCCACCCCATGAACGAGTCGCCCATTATCGAGGCGGGCTTCTTGAAGCCTCTGGTGGAGCTGCTGGGCTCGACGGACAACGAGGAGATCCAGTGCCACGCCATTTCGACGCTGCGCAACCTGGCCGCCAGCTCCGACCGGAACAAGGCCCTCGTCCTTGAGGCGGGTGCCGTGCAGAAGTGCAAGCAGCTGGTGCTGGACGTGCCCGTCAATGTGCAGTCAGAGATGACAGCCGCGATTGCTGTCTTGGCCCTTAGTGACGAGCTCAAGATGCACCTGCTTGGCCTCGGCGTCTTTGATGTGCTCATCCCGCTGACCCAGTCGACCAGCATCGAGGTGCAGGGCAACAGCGCGGCGGCGATGGGCAACCTCTCGTCGAAAGTGGGCGACTACTCCATGTTCATCCAGTATTGGCCGGAGCCCAGCGGCGGCATCCACGGCTACCTGAGCCGGTTCCTTGCCAGCGGCGACGCGACGTTCCAGCACATTGCGATATGGACGCTGCTACAGTTGCTCGAGTCCGAGGACAAGCGGCTGATGAACCTGATCGCCAAGTCGGACGGGATCGTCGAAGTGGTCAAGCAGATTGCGAACCGACCGATTGGTTCCGAGAATGAATTTGAGGAAGACGACGAGGGCGAGGTCGTCAGCCTGTCCCAGCGCTGTCTTGAACTCCTGGGACAGAACAACCCCAAGTCGCATATTGAAGGTTAAGCCTGCAACTCGATCCACGGGTTTGCCAGTACTTTCCTCTTCCTCCTTCTCGCGCTCCCCACCTTCTTATGCTTCCCACTGCTGTCATTTCTACACTCTGCACTTCTATATTATACCTCGACCCTCCGATCCGCTATACGTTTTTTATTTTATTTTATTTTTTAACAACAGATCGCCGAGTTCGAAGGGAGATCACCTCGCATTGGCCTTTTGTTTTTGTCTTTTTGCAGTCGGCCGGACAGTCCGTCTCTGTTTTCGGTTCAGATACAACGGGCATGGTGTTTACGGCGTCGTTTGCACTGCTGTTGTTCCTGTTCTTGCTCTTGGCTCTTTGCACTTCACTTTCACTGTATGAGTTTGGTCTTTGCTAATGTTTGCTGCATTTTCCCACTATCCTATCTCTGATTACCATTTCATTTCCTATCGTCTGTTTGCTTCGAAGGGTCAGTTCATGTCGAGCTTTAACTATTTTATATATTCTCTTGCTGTTTGAGAGTCCTTTTATCACATTCTATCCAGAATGCGCATGTTTGGTGTGATTTGCACAGAACCGACGGCCGGTTGGGCAGCGAGCACGACATGTGGCGTGTTTCTGTTCTCCGGTTGTCTATTCCCTTTTGCTACCGTTTTGCTTGTCCATGCTCTTTGCTCTTGCTTGCATTGCATTGTTTTTCTTTTTGCGTTTTCCCGTTCACAGTGCGGTGTTGGGTTTCTATCAACCCACTCCTGCCCATCTTATTTCCTTTGTGTCTGAGGAGCATCTCTAAGGAAGGGCTCCGATGGCCGCTGTTATCATAGTCCTACGGTGTTCGCAGCCAATGCAGTCAATGTCTTGCCGTGGACCGCAATGGGCTTGTGCACAGCACTGCCGCTTTGCAACCCTGGAAGCCATACCCCATTATTGGCTTCGCATCCCCTCATCACCCTAGCGGATGCAATTAGATTATGTAAACCCTGTTCATCGCAAGCCTTGCAATGCCGTTCGTGCTGTGCTTTGGGTGTGTCGTAGGATCTCGAGCGTTTCCTTGGCTCGAGTAGGCGTGAATACGCCCCCTTGTGCTTTCCACTCGCAACTCGTCCAGCTTCATGAGTGGAGATGTGTCTTTGTATGTGTTTGTGCATCCGCCGTGCGAAAGTGGCGATATCACTTTCAAGCGTCCAGCTTCGGGCTTCAAACAGGTGCCTCAGCATCCTCGGCGTCCATGGGATTCACAATCCACTCCCACGTCTTGGCAATCACTTTGCCGCGAACGAGGGCCAGCGGGACGGGGCCAAATGTGCGGGAATCCCGCGATGCCGGCAGGTTGTCGCCGACAAGGAAGCAATGCCCTTGCGGGACCTGCATGTGTTAAGACCGAATCGCAAATACATCATTCGACAAAAGAAGGCGGCCTACCTGAATCATCAAATCGCTCTGGCCCTCGGGCGAGTTCACCAGCACATAGTCCCCCGGCATGCCCATGACGCGCTTGACGGCTTCGTCGGCCGGCTCGACGGGAATCCGGTAGACCACGAGGTCGCCCACACGCACATCGCGCCCGCCACGGAACCGCTTGGCCACCAGCAGCCAGTCGCCGGCCACGGAAAAGGTGGGCAGCATGCTGGGCCCCGAGGCAGGGCCGACGCTGTAGCCGTAGGTCCAGATGAGGTGGCAGCAGGCGAGCGTCTTGGCCGTGCCAACGGCCCAGCGGCCGGGGTGGCCGTAGAATGCGCGACTGAAGCCGGCAAAAGGAGACATGGCGGTGGGGCGTTGGATGTGAAGAGCTGTCCCAACTTGGACAGGAGGACGTCGTCAACTATTGTCAGCCAAGTAGATTTTGGTTGGTGGTAACGGATGGCACGAGCAGCTATTTCGTAGTGGCCAAGCTCCAGCTTAGTCATCAAAGCTCCACATCTCCACATGTCTCGCCTGCCCAAACGGTGCTGTAGCTGTTTCATTGGCTAAACGCCAAATCCGACGGCAAGCTTTGGGTTTGGCACAACTAACGATCAACCTCTCCTGCCCCAGGACAACAACATGTCTCTTTGCCACACCAATATGAAGGGCGCTGTGCATCTTCTCGCGCCTGCGACGGCTCTCGCGCGGGCCTTTGCTTCGAGCACGAGCACGAGCACAGGCACAGGCACAGGCACAGGGCTAAGACAAACCTGTCTCGTGGCGGGCTACAGCTTCGGATCAGCAACGAACGGGACGCTGGTGCCCCAGCAGCGGCGAGGCGCACATTCACATTCCAACCGGGGACGGCCGGAACGACAGCCGCGCGGGCATGGCCCTCCGCGTCCCGGCCCGCCTCGTCCACACTACGGACCACCGCGTGGGCCCTCTGGGGGCGATCCCCGCCCCTATGGACCACGGCCCACAGGGTACCGGGGACAAGACTCTTCTGGCGAGCGCCCTGCACATTTCCAGCGTCCCAACACGACGTTTGGCTTTCAAAAATCCGGAGCGCCGGCAGCCACGCCGCTCGTCAAGCCCAAGACGGCCCGTATGCCGCGCAACAACGCGATCACCTTTAGCCACGTGCTGCTGCCGCAGGAGGACGGCACACTGGGGCTGCCCGAGCGCACCGAAGATGTGCTGCGGCGGATCGACCGCCGGAATAATGCCTTGGTCGTGGTAGCGATGCCACAGAGCAACAACGACGAATACCAGCCAGAGGGGGAGAGACAGGCCGCGCTGGCGGAGGCCATGCGGCGCTTCCCGGTCTGCCGGATTGTCGACACCAAGGCCGAACGCCAGGCCGCCGACGAGGAGCGCCTGGCCGCGCGCAAGAAGAAGGTGGGCAAAAAGGAGCTCGAGATCAACTGGGCCATCGACTTGCACAACCTGGGCTTTCGGCTGGTCAAGCTGCGCGAGTTCTTGGACAAGGGCCTCTACGTCGAGATCCGCCTCATGTTCAAGTCGGCGAAGTCGGGCAAGCGCCGGGCGACGCTCGAAGAGGCGGAGGAGGTGCTGCGGCGGATCCGCGCTACCATAGACGAGGTCCCGGGCACGGTGGAGACGAAGCCGACTGAGGGCGTGATTCTGCGCATGATGAAGCTCTTCCTCAAAGGACCGGAACCCGCCAAGAAGGCGAAGACGAAGGGGGAGCAATAAGGACAAGCACGGGCGACAGCGGACGATTATGGAGTCAATTACGACAAACAGTGTATATGGGTGTTGCATTTATACAGTCTAGAGTGTACGATACGAAATGAGGCGTTTCCGTCACATGCGACAGTTTGAATAGAATACTCTGTGTATTTGTTGTTGCTGATACGAATTACCTCTGAGGCAATAGCGAAGGTCTTCCAGAGATTATTCGCATAGTAACAACAGCAGTTGCAGTTTGTGCTGCGTACAGTGGGGCGCGCCTGCCAGGCTAGGGACTGGGCGCGCCTTCCAAGCGCGGGGCTGATGAAATCCGTTCCCTTTTAATTCTTATGTTTTTTTTGTCTTAGTGGGCACTATTTTCTCAATGCAGCCACTACATTCATGTGCCTGGCCAATGACTCAGGCTTCAATTCGCCAACACAACCACACACGCAAACAGCTCTAATTCCACCGCCTCTGTGAGTCTGAACTGACAGCGACGACTTGAGCAGGATAGCCCTTTGATAACGCGATCATACCATCGCACTTATCCCCTTGTCCTTCCCCTTGTCCCGACGCTGCTGCCCCGCCAAAGCACCGCGATATCACCCCCTACATTCGAGACGACAACAGTTTTCAACAAGAGGTCGCAGCATATCACACAATCACACGTTGAAGCATGTCGACAGCACAGCCGCCGGACACGGCCGTGGGCACTGCAAAGCCCCAACAGAAACAGAAGAACACACAACCGACGGGAACAACAGCAGCAGGAGCAGGAGCGGCAGCATCATCGTCAACAGATGGAGCACCAAAGAAACTCACAGGTGCCGAGTTGAAAGCACAGAAGCAGGCTGAAAAGGCCAAGCGGAGAGCAGCCGTTATCGCGGCCAAGGAGGCAGCAGGAGGGGTCCCACCGGCGGCGGCAGTAGCAGCAGCAGCAGCAGCGGGACAGACGAGCCAGAGCGGCAGCCAACCGAAGCAAGGCAAGGGCAAGAGCAGCGCAAGTGCTGAGAGTGGAGGCGGTGGCAGCGGTGGTGGCGGCAAGATCACAGGCCCGCTCGCATCACGACCATCGGCCGGAGCAGCGTCGGCAGCATCGGCTGCACCAGGCACAGGCGGCCCGGCTGGAGAGGCAGCGGCCGCTGTGGCCACGCCCGCCGATCGCGAAAAGGACGCCCGCAGCGGCATTCCCGAGTGCTTTAGCCACCTGCCGATGGCTAAGCGCATCACCATTGCCCAGGCGCACAGGGATGTGCACCCAGCCATCCTGGCCGTCGGCCAACAGATGGCTTCGTTCGACCTGCGCCACAACATGGCCCGCCTCGAGGCCACGCTTGTCGCCTTCAAAAAGGTCATTGCCTCGTACCAGACGCCGCCGGGTAACGCCTTCTCCCGCCATTTTGTCTCGCACGTCCTCAACCCGCAGATTGAGTACCTGACAGAGTGCCGCCCCATGTGCTTCGCCATGGGCAACGGCATCCGCCTGCTCAAGGCCCGCGTCTCGCAGCTCGACCTCGACACCGACGACGCCGACGCCATCGAGGAGCTGTGCGACTCCATTGACAGCTTCGTCCAGGAGCGCATCTTTGTCGCCGCCGTCGGCATTGCCCGCGAAGCCGCGTCCATGATCCACGACGGCGACGTCGTGCTGACCTTTGGCGGGCCGCGTCTTGTGTGTGCCGCCCTCGAGCAGGCCTGGGACCACGGCGTGCGCTTCGACCTGATTGTCGTCAACGACCCGAGCGACCCGGCACCGGGCCAGGCCCTGGCCAAGGAATTCCAGCGGCGTGCAACGCTGGTGGCCGGGCGGACACCCGATGGCGCACGTGCAGCGGCCCCGTCGTACGTCACCTACTCACCCTCGCTCGACGGCATCGACAACCTCGTCGCACGCAGCTCCATCGTCCTCCTCGGCGCCGAGGCCGTCTTTGCCAACGGTGCCCTGCTGGCGCCCGCCGGCACGTGCGACGTGGCGAGCGCTGCGTCTGCTGTCAACGCCACCGTCATTGCGCTCTGTGAGACGGTCAACTTTGACCGGGACCGCGTAGCCACGGATGCCCTGGCCCACAACGAGATCGACCCGGACCGCTGCGACGGCGATGCCTTCCGTCTGTTGTTTGATACGACGCCGTCGTCGCTCATCAACATGCTGATTTGCGAGTACGAAGAGGCGAGCGGCATGGTGCCGGCGCACGCCATCAACCTCGTGCTGCGGACGAGAGAAGACCCAAATTGAGTCGGGCGTGGGGTGGTGGAAGAGTGTGGTAGGACGCAAACGAAGAGAAAAGGGGCAAGCGACATAGTAGACAGGCAATCTGAGAATCTGACCAAATGTATCTTAGCTGGCGTTGCAGGCAACTTTTCTTTAAATTCAAAAAAGCAGACACTAAAGCTTCAATCCTGTCACCGAATTTGGCCTGGGTATTGCAGTCAATGTGAATAATGTATTTGGTACGCTCAGTCAGAAACGGGTCCAGCATGCAGGCGTCCCAGTGTCTTCCATGCCTTCGGGCCTGTGTTGTATATACAATGCTTTCCTTGCCCACCTCCTCTGTCTCTCTTGTAGCCACGTTCCTCATCCCTCATGCCGTGGCAGCCGCCTGCTCTGCTGCCCGCCGTGCCCGCTTCTCGAGAATCGCCTCTTTCCGTGCCGCTAGCACCGCCGTCTGCCGGTCGTCCACACCCTGCAGCCAGTAACCGAAGCCCGCGCCCGTCGCGCCAAACACGGGGTACGCCCACAGCGAGCCCTTGTGGAAGAGGGGTCGCATCTCGATGCTCAGCTGCAGCGCGCGCGCAACAACGCCTAGAAGAGTCAGTATGTCAATTTTCCGCCTCTGCTTCCAACAATGCCACTGCTGGTGGTCCACCTACCGAAGCCAGTCCAGAAAATAAGCCGATGCACCATAGTTGCTCAATTGACTCGATGCGTGTTTTATGGAGGGGTGATGATGTGGAGGAGACGCCGACGGGAAAGGCCCAATCGACAGACTGAAATCTTGTAGAAGTGGCCGAGGGTGCCGTTCGTGTGGATGTATCGTCGTTAAGTCGGGAAACGCTGGACGAAGGCCGTTGGGACGTGGGTCGTGACGCTGCTTCTGCTTGTTACAAGCGCAAATTTGGTGATGCTTAACCCACCCGTCTCCATTGGCTATGGGGAGTTCTAGGGGGACCCGCTGACAACTGCCTCCTTCCAGTCAGCTCCGGAACTTCGGTTAATCCGCCGAGAATTTGCGAATATAGTTTGCATTAAATTTATTTCGAGACAAAATGCACTACGTCTAATTTAGGCTAGCGACAATACCCCGGCAGCAAGCGCGACCGTGAACGCGATCAGATGTGATTTTGCCTGGGTCGCTCTTCCCAAAGCTGAGCCTTCAGCTCCTTCCTCACCTGCACTCCGTACGATAGCCACGACAACAAACGAACAACACTTTCCTCCAGACGGAAAAATATCCTCTTCAGTGTCGCTCGATACACTTTTCTCATTGGAGTATAAAAGCACAAACTTCGACCAATTGTTGCTTGCATTTCCCGTCACAGCCGCTCCCAAACCGTTGCCATTTTGCATTGCGGCTCTCCTTTCATTGGCCTACAGCTTGCGCCGTTTGTTGCCATAGTCCGCCTTCATACACCCCGAGGTCTCGACTCAACATCATGTCTTGAGCTCTTGGCTCGTTTTTGACCTTTTTTCTCCCGACACATCCACCGGAGCCTTTGGTGCTATCTGCCTGCCTGCCTGCCTGCCTGCCGTGGACGCCATGGCACCGCCAGCTGTAGCGGCGGCCACAGATGCCGAAGCAGTGTCGACTCCACCAGCCACAGATGCACCGTCTGTAGCCGGCAAGGCGTTGGACCCGGCGGCCGTGCCGCCAGCCAATGTCCGGTCCTTCAAGGCGTCTGAGCTGCCCCTGTCGTCTGCTGTGCGGTCTGCTATCGAAGGACTTGCACATACGTTCAAGAAGAAGGGTGGTTACGATACCATCCGCAAGCAGGCATGGGACAAATTTGAAGCGAGTGTACGTTGGTTTCTTTCTTCTTTTTTCCGTTATTTCTCTTTGACGGACGTCACTAACCTCTGCAGGGCTACGAAGAACAGGTCACCAAATCCATCCTCGAGGTCGCCGGCCAAGAGGTCGAACGCAACCCTTCCCAGCTGTTGTCCATTGACCGACGCAAGGCGGCTGCTCTCATTGACGGCGCTCTCGACCGCGGCGGCATCTACCAGCAGGCCCAGTCCGTCATCGAAGCCCTGATCGACTCGAGTGCCATTGAGGCCCACATCCGCGAGATCCGCCGTGCCGAGATCGGTGATGTTGCTGCCGACGAGGAGCAGGCTCGCGGCTCCAAGACAGACGAAGAGTACGCTGCCGACACGGCCGCCCGCCGCGCCGAGCGGGAACGTGTGCGCCAGGAGCTACGTGAAGTCGAAGAGCAAAAACGGCGCCTCGAGCGCGAGATTCGCGAAAAGGAGGAGGCGAGACGCCGTGAAGAAGAGCGAGAGGCCCGTGAGGCCCGTCGCAAGGAAGAGCGCGAGAAGGAAGAGCGCCGGGAACGCGAGAGAGACGAGCGTCGCCGCGAGCGAGAGCTGGAACGGGAGCGCGAGCGTCAAGAGCGTGAACGTGACCGGGAACGAGACCGTGAGCGCCGGCAAAGAGATCGTGACAGAGGCCGCGATCGAAGCCGGAGCCGCAGTCGCGATCGAAGCCGCAACCGGAGCCGTGACCGACGTGATCGTAGCAGAGACCGCCGCGACCGTAGTCGCCGCCGCGACTGGGACCGTGATCGGCGTGACCGAGACAGGTCGCCAGAGAGCAGGCGCCACCGTGATTCGCGCGATCGCGACACCCGGCGCGAAGGTGGCCGCGAGCAGCCCGAAGAGGTCAAGAAACAACTTTCGGACGAGGAGCTGCAACGGCTGGAAGAACTGGCGATGCTGGACCTTCTGCGTGAGAGCAAGTCGTCTCAGGCAGCACGCCAGCCGGAGCTTGAAGTGGACGAGACCCTGGCACCGCCACCGCGAAAGAGCATGCCCGCATCTGCCATTCAGCCAATCCCCAAGCGGGGGTCTTCATCCAAGACCGCTTCCGATAGCAAGCGGCCACCACGGCAAACGTCCCCACTACCGACCAAAACTGCGGCCGTCACAGCTGAAACTGCCCCTGCAGCACCAATGAAACTCGAAGTTAAAATCACGAGCAAGCCGGACGGTCGAAAGGAGTCTGTTCCGGTTATAAAGATCCAACACGACGCCAAGGATCTCGATGCCGTTCCTGCAGCTGGAGAAGAGTCTGCCAGCGACGCAAAAATCACCATGGACGAAGACACGAACACTACGAAAGACTCTCTCGACACACGCAAAGCTACACCAAAGATGTCTCCGAGAGATGCCACGCCCATTTCCAGCAAGGCCACACCCAAGGCCACACCCAAGGAAGAGTCCAAGGAAGTGTCCAAGGAAGAGCCCGAGGTAGAGCCGGAGGAAAAGGCAACGCCTGTGGACGAGGCTGCCACCACCGCCAGCCGGAAACGACCTCGCAGTGTCTCCTTGTCGGCTCGGGACCGGGATACGAATCGGCGCAGCCGCAGTCCCGATCGCAAGCGCAGCCAGCGGTCCGAGTCACGCCGCGAGAAGGAGAGGGACGATAGGAGCCGTTCACGAACACGGCGGCGTGACCTGCGCAAAACCAGCCCACAACCGAAGGACAAGGAGAAGCAAAAAGAGAGGGAAGCAGACGATGGGGACGCATCGGTTCGACGGGCTAGGTCCACGTCTCGCCGTCGCAGAGAAACCTATCGTGACCGTGATCGTGATCGCGAGCGGAGCCGCAGCGATTCGAGAACGAGACGCAGGGACAGGGACCAGCCTCGGGGTAGGAGCCGGGCGTGGTCGCGGTCGCGGTCGCGGTCGCGATCTCGGTCTCGGTCTCGCTTGGCATCGCGTAGGTCGCGGTCGGCTCGACCCAGACGGCAGGACGATCGAGATGTCTCCCGACGGCGTTCGCGGTCTCGGCAGCGGTCCCGGCCACGAGCGTACAGGGATAGGAGCAGGTCGCGCCGGCCGGTCGATCGTCGCCGCAGTCGGTCTGTGTCGCGGGCGCGCACGACAACGGCTGCACCCAGCGCCGGTGCCACTACCACTACCACTACCACCACGGTTGGACGCGCTAGCGACTCAAGAGCGCGCGACCGTCGCAGTCGCAGTCGCAGTCGCACGCCGCTGGGCGCGTCGTCAACGCTTGTGCGTCCGCCGAGTATTCTCGACAAAGAAGAGTTGGAGGCGTGGAAGCGCAGCGAGGTCAAGAAGCGCGAGCAGGAGGCGAAGGCTTATTTGGCGGCGCAACGCGAAGCACGGGAAAAAGGCCTCCCTGTGCCGGGAGTCGACGACAAGCGCAGCGCAGGCGACCGGTCGCCAGACGCTAAGCGCAAGTACGAGCCCGATGAGATCGACCGGTATGTGCCGAAAGAGCGGCGCCACATTGACCGTGCCGTCTCGGGAGCAGGTGCCGTCCACGACCGGCGAGATAGGGATAGAGTTAGGGATAGGGATCGGGATCGGGATCGGGATCGGGATCGGGATCGGGATCGGGATCGGGATCGGGATCGGGATCGTGGCCGGGACCGGGACGACCGACGCGACTCGCGGGATTATCGTTCTCGTGATGACCGTGGTGGCAGCCGGTCGCGCAGCCGCAGTCCTCGCCGTGATTTCCGGGATCGAGACCGCGATCGCGATCGCGACCGTGACCGTTACACCTCTCGCCGCGATCGGAGTCGCAGCCGCGACAGAGATCGGGATCGGGACCGGGACCGGGACAGAGACAGAGACCGTGACCGTGATCGGGACCGTGATCGCCGGCGTGACCGCAGCCGCAGCCGCAGCCGTCGGCGTCGTAGCAGAAGCCGCTGAGAGGAGGCGACGCTGCCAGCATTTGACACGCGCATTGCTGACACGGTGGACAAGCACTTTTAGTTCTCTGGGTAGAGTGCAACTCAGCACTTTCACTATTTATGTCATCTGACTAGCGATGCGTGTGATATTTGATACCTTTTGATAGTACAGTTGATCTTCTCGACAATTCCATGTCTCTTATGGGCAGTCAACTCAGTCCAATGGCCTTTTGCAGGGCCGCTTTTCCAAAACAAATTCCTCCAAAATAATTCGCCTGGTATCATTCGCTGGTATTGAATCACTTTCACCAGCCCCCTTTACTTACGTCCGCTGCTTCTTGGCCGGCG